TCATCCCCAGGAGAGTGGGTCTTACTATCTCCATTATATACATGTGGAGACTGAGGCTCAGAGAGGCCAAGTGACTGACCCAGGGTCCCAGAGCCTAACAGGAGGAGGGCCAGGATTCGAGCATGGCTCTGTGAGCCGGGACCATCCTGGCACTCACCCGCCTGTCCCCCTCCTCCAGGTGGCGATGGTGGAGGTGCAGCTGGACGCTGACCACGACTACCCGCCGGGGCTGCTCATTGCCTTCAGCGCCTGCACCACAGTGCTGGTGGCCGTGCACCTGTTTGCACTCATGATCAGCACCTGCATCCTGCCCAACATCGAGGCGGTGAGCAATGTGCACAACCTCAACTCGGTCAAGGAATCACCCCATGAGCGCATGCATCGCCACATCGAGCTGGCCTGGGCCTTCTCCACTGTCATCGGCACACTGCTCTTCCTGGCTGAGGTGGTGCTGCTCTGCTGGGTCAAGTTCTTGCCCCTCAAGAAGCAACCAGGCCAGCCGCGGCCCACTAGCAAGCCCCCGGCCGGTGGCGCAGCTGCCAATGTCAGCAGCAGCAGCACCAGCGGCATCACCCCAGGCCAGGCAGCTGCCATCGCCTCCACCACTATCATGGTCCCCTTTGGCCTGGTCTTCATCGTCTTTGCCGTCCACTTCTACCGCTCGCTGGTCAGCCATAAGACAGACCGACAGTTCCAGGAGCTCAACGAGCTGGCCGAGTTCGCCCGCTTGCAGGACCAGCTGGACCATAGAGGGGACCACCCCTTGACGCCCGGCAGCCACTATGCCTAAGCCCTCGCGGGTCTGGGCCCTTCAGAGCTTTGGCCTTACACCCTTTCCCATGACCTTGTCCTGCCCCAACCTCAAGGACCGCCTGTGCAGGGGGATCAGCTTCACTCTGGGGGCAGAGAGTGGAGGAAAGAGGCTTTTTGTAAAAGAAATTATTGCACTTTGAAACTTTCCTCTAAGAGAATAAGCACTTCCTGTTCTTCCAGCTCCAGATCCACCTCCTGTTAGGAGGCCATGGGGGCCAGAGTAGGGACAGATGCTGCCTTTGTCCCTCCTCCTCCCCCATGCCAGTGCCACCTGGATGCTTCCTGTCCTTTCTGTCTTGACTTCCCCGTTCAGTGGAGAGAGTGTGTGTGTGTCTGTGTGTGTGTGTGTGAACACATAAATATACTCATAAGGGACACTTTCTTCTTGTGTCTGTATTTGTTGGGACTGGGCTGTCTGGTAATATTTTTCCTGGTGCCCCATTCAGGTGAGCCTGTAAGCAAAGTTTTTTAAAAAGTTTGTTTTCGGGGCTGGCCCGTGGCTCACTCGGTAGAGTGCGGTGCTGATAACACCAAGGCCATGGGTTC